CCACGAACCTTTACCGCTGACGTGAAGTGGGAAAATTATATTGAATCATTTGTGAGGTCTATCTTTGGTTTCAATCCTTGTTCTTTATTTGTTCTCTCACCTTTAATGTTTTTTTTCTCATATTCTTTCACACTGTAACTCCTTGCGTCTTAGTAGATTTATTACCTTACTTGCGGTTAAATGATGGCGTATACATTTGTGTGTGTGTTTGTCACATTTCTGTAAATGCATAGATTTTATGAAAGAGAAAGGATCTCTTATAAAGATATATTTCTCTATCTATGCATAGATTCTTCTGTCTAGAGAAACGATTCAATTTATTTTAACCTGTTTGAACACCCAATATATATTCGGCGGTTAATATGAACACACGCGAGTGGTTTCTTGGACTGGATTGATGAATGTATATTGAAAAGTGTATGTGTGTAAAAATATATATTTCTGCTCTTCCTCCTCTCTTATATATTGCACATAGGTGTATAAATAGAGAGAGAGAATGATTTACGCAAGTCTTGTATTTCACGCCCAATATCGCTGCCTAGCCGAATAGGTTGTCATATTTGAGCAAACAATAACACCAATGTGCACATTACGTAAAACTTTTGAATGCAGACGCAGTGCTGAAAAGTTCACGGTCCGACCTATTGGCTAAAATCTCTTTTTTTCGTCTTTTTCATTGGGTTTTTAGTCGCACTGATAACTTTTCAGTATCCTGCCAGAAATAAAATGTGTAGGAATAAAAGAAGAAGTAATGTATATGATTTATAAGTGACAAATGGAGAACTGACATGGGTATTGCTGAAAACACTTTAGGACCTTCAAATATAACAGCATTGTATTAAGAAAAATAAGAGAAAATGTCCAGACATATTGAACAAATTTTTCATTCTTTCTTCTTAAATTATTCAAGTCCTCATAAATCGACCAATACCCAACGGGAACTACTCAGTTTAGGAATAAATCTTCTTTTTTTTTTCATTTTGGAATTGTCTCATTCTTACACGCAATTATTCTGTTAACACTGCGAGGCTGTTGACGTAGTTATATATCTTTCCGAAAATTACGTTGCCTGCTGTCGACGTGCATTTATTTACCTGACATCATGAAATATCGGTCCCTAGAATTTGTGTTCTAAGCTAAAGAGAACATGTCAATATCTTATTTTACCAAAAATGGGCCCGCACAGCCAGGCAACAAAACCATATTCAAGATTTTAATCAAATTCCACACTAGATGAATTATCTACTTTAATAATTCCTATGTAAGATTCGAAATCTTTGTCTACATCTGGATATTCCGGACGCTGTTTGAAAGAGTTGGCCGGTATACCCAGCCTGTCGGTACACCTACCATATTGATGAACAGCAAAGATGGACAGCAGGGGATCAGATTCGGAGACCGTACTCCTGAGAGGGTTAAAATTCAAAGATTTAAAATAGTAAATCAACCGAATCTCAGAGCCACAGAAATTGCAGTGAATCTTAAACTTTTACTGAAAGGAATAGACGTCATGAATAATTATCTTATGTACAATCAAGAGTGCCCCTCTTGTTTCCTTACTCTTTGAGAGAAATATTTCTGTTTACTGGGACTATAAAAGGACACTATACACGAACCTTGTATTCTCAGTTGAATAAAGCTTCCGTAAAGCTTACATCTGCTTATTTTTTCATTACAGATTGTATTTTACGTATTGTTTGTCAGGAGGCCATCATAGTGTAAGGCCTACCCTCTTAAGGATTGTTTTTCGAAAGAGCACTATTTTAAAGGTTTGTCAGCCAAGAAGATGTCATAATGTAAGGATTGTCTGTGAAGCGGACACCATGTGTTAAGGATCGTCAAGAGGCCACTAGGTCTTAAGGGTTTGACTCAAGAGGCTGCATTGTTGGTGAAATATGTCAACATTTTAATGGTCGTCTTTAATGAGAAGACCAAATGTTGAGGATTGTTTGTCAAACAGCCACCTTGCTTTCAAAATGCTATCGAAAAATTATTATGTTCCCAACTCAAAACAAAATGTTTCTTTACTTCCCGGGTCATTAGATATCACCTTGTATTTCCATCACAAGATACTGTATAGTCAAAGAACATTACTCTTACTGATAAAACGTTTTAAGGTCCATTTTCTTTTTAATCATGCATTTCTTCTGTTGTATTATTTCCCAGAATAGTTCCTATATTTTTGTCATCGTTAAATTATGGAATCCTACATATTTATTTAACATTGTATGTCTTGTTGACTGAACTGCCAACTGCCAATCGGCATGTGAGATTTATTCAATTCGGTTACAACTCAAAAACCTAAAAGTTTATATCCGCCTGCAATCAGCCGGGCTATTTGATTATTGAGTCGTATCCTCAACCCACGTCCCCAGGCTTTGAGTAATAGTTTCATCAGGTGCTCTATCGAAATCAATCTTCCTACCTTCGGATTGGATTCAACACAATTTTGGCAACTTCCTTGTAAATCTATTTGAAAGTTTAATCTTCCATTTGCTGACAGATAACAAGGTTTTCAGGATAAGGAAATTCTATTTTCTTTCGAAATAGAATTCCATTACATTACTAACGTACTCACCAGACATTCGACCAATTGCAGATCTTGCAACAAACTATTATCGGACGTGTGTTAGCTAAAAGAATATATATATATATATATATATATATATATATATATATATATATATATATATATATATATATATATATATATATAAGGTCTGATCAGAAATTAACAGGACTGGTAATCTATACAGAAAAATACAACGTTTCAATTCGGCATATAATGACCTTTGATGTAGACGCTTTCTGATGCCAAATTATCCATTGGCGTTTCAAATGAAAGTATTGCTGGAACTCCTTTTTTTTGGTGGGAGGATAGCGAGTATCTTCCACGTCACATTATTTTGGGTGTTTCGACATTTAAAATATTGTTCCTTTCAAGTGCTATTTGACTTTGGAAGAGGAAAGTGTGGCAAAGGACGTGATCTGGTTAATATGATAGTTGTGGGTCCCAGAGAATGTTGTCCTCGGCCAAAAGCTGCTGCACACGCAATGATTACTGATGAAACAGTGTGGTATGGTGAGACGACTACACCCTACACAATTTCATTCTAAGCACAGCGATAAACAACGAAATTAACCGAGAACGATAAAGTTCAAGGTCAAACTGTGCCAAGGTCAAACTGTGCTATAGCAACAGCCCCGATATTTTTAATCGTGTATGTGTGTGCGCGCGCCCGTGTGTGTGTCCTAAATTTCAGTCAGTTTTGAATTGAAACGTCACCTACTGTTTGCTTCCCAATATAGGAGGCCAGGCTGAAAAGTAACAGAACTGATGTCACAAACAATATATTTAAATTCCAAAACAACAAACTACATGGTTTTCAAACTAATCACCGCCCTCTAGTTTAACACACTTTTCCGTCATTTACTTCCACGCTTCTATGCCCTGGTGGAAGGAGTCTTCTTGAATATTCTTCAGCTTTGTCGTAAAGACCCTCTCGATGACCTCTACGCCATCAAAAGGGGTTCACGATATTAGGGAAAAGAAAGAAGTCACGCCTAACAAGATCAAGTGAATAGGAAGGATTTTCTCGACCCAGAACTGTCGAATGCTCAGGGCAGTGTGAGAAGCTGCATTGTCGGGGTGAAGCAACCACGAATTATCCTGCCACAATGGTTGCAGGGAGGAAAGCTAAGTTTACAGTTATATACTCCTAAGATATCCTGTTAGATTTCAACACAATCTGCTTATCCCTCTTTCGCTATAACTCACACAGTACACCCAATACCTTTACTTTTCAGACAATCTTCATATATATATATATATATATATATATATATATATATTTCAGGAAATTCACCCCAAGCAAGGCAGGAGTGCCACTAGCAGGCAAGGGGTTACAGAGGATTGAGAACAAGTGTAAAGAGGCGTGTTTGAGAAAGCGATACAGAGGAGGACGAGAAACAAGCCCAGGGTGTCAGAAGTCGATTTACACTACAATCAACTGCCAGGTTAGTTTTGCCAACGATATTTGATTTACTATTGAGGCAGGAGTAAATAGTGATGTCGTCTGCGTAGATGCCTACTTGGGAACTGGTGACATCGGGAAGGTCATTGATGAAGATCAGGAACAGTGGAGGACCCAAGATAAGTGGTCACTGGCATTAGTGAAAAAGGAGCCGGAGGAGAACCCGTTTAGGATGAACTTCATTTCACGGTTTGACAGGAATTATTGTATTAAGTAAAATAATCGTCCCGTAATACCATATTCCGGAAGCGTACGAAGAAAGCCAGCGTGCCAAGTCCTATCAAACGCTTTAGACATGTCTAGAGCCACGGCACGAGATTCTCCATTATTGTTGAGTGCTTGGTATACAAATTCAAATTCAATTATGGTCATGAGCACGTTAGCGGTGGATCGGGCAAAGCGGAAACCATATTGCTTTTCGGAGAGTAGATTATGTGAATTAAGTTGCTTAACCACTTCGGCCTTGATTAAGTAAGATGATATACCTACTAAGTAGATAATTCATATTTCTGGAGCACAATGAGGAAAAGCGTTTGAAGAATTTAACATTCACAGGTCACATGGAAGTAAATAAGGGAAATCAGCTAGCAACTAGACAATTTGTATCTCTAGAGCACAATGAGGAAAAGGGGCTTGGAGAATTTGACACTCACAGAAGATATTGAACAGAGAGAATTGGTGAATAATCTCCGAAACCAGATTTTTGGCAGTGATTAAGAGATCGAATGATACGTTTTGTACGATTTATCAACCCTTTGTAGGTTATTTAAAGCCAGAAAATATATTTAGATTTTAATAATTTTTGTTGAGATAATAATCGTTTAGTAATACAAGTCTAATTAACCTATATCATTCCTAAGGATGTTTGTGCATAAGAGAATATAACGAATACAACTGGAATTGGAACTCGGCTCTCCTATTAACAATTCCAAGCCATTATCCATTACACCACCTGCACATCCAAGTTTACAGCACGTAGTATTTCCAAACGGTCACCCATCTAGGTACTGACCACGCTCGATGTTGCTTACCTTCGGTGATTGTACGGGAACAGGTGTTGCAACATGATGTCGCCGTAAGTCCAGGGTAAAGAGATATAGCAATGATAAACGTTACTAAGAGCTACAAAGAACAGGAAACTGTGGAGAGACATAATCATCCAAATCCTGAATGATGCATAGAAAATTGTAGTTATTTCTATGCTAATTAAAATAATCCTTACCATCTTCTATTGCTTTTAATCGACTATTAAGGCTATTGTTAATGGCGAAGAGACGAACATGGATAATGAGACATATTCAGCAAAGAGTTATGATGAAATAATCGAACAGTTATTTTTGTGAAATTTATTTCAATGTGTGATCATTATTATGGCTAGTGTAATTTGAAAACACAATTCTATTTGCTCGTGAAATTGGTAATCACGTCTCTTATTTGTTGGGCTATTTGCTTATAGATGGAGTCGAAAAGAAAATTTCGAGTAAGTCAATATTTTTCCATCAAGAATGGCATTGTTATTTTGTATCACTTCCACATAATAATGGTGTCCGGCCAATGTGAGATTAGACTCGTCTTTCTTTCAGAATTACCGACTGAATCTCCTTGTGTCAAGCGAAAAGTTAACTGTTGAAAAATAAATGAAATCTTCTTCGTCGTCGTTTTTCTTTTGGCACTTATTTTTTGTCCAAAAAAAATTGCTGGAATCTTTACAATGCAAAAATGGACACTTGCATTTTTCGAACGGGAAGATATTTATGATGTAATTAACTTCCGGTCAATGTAACAGCAAATTCTATTCTACAAATTTCAATTTATTTTTACTTTAAAGATTTCAGACATGAACATCAATTATAAATTCCAATCTAAATTCACTCAACCACCAAAGAATAATGAAGTGGGTCTGAATGCTTGAGTTATTCATGCTAATATTCCGTCAGTTATATTCAACCAGTCTGAGGTATACGACCCCTGTAGAGACCTCAGTCAAGTATCGTATTTATATTCTCCAGATGCGATTTGATTGAAACTGCTAGAGGCTGCCTGGGGATATTTATATAACCACATATTTTACAAACTTTTTCCCTAATCAACGTTCTTGGAAACTTGTGACTACATCGTCCTTGGATTAAACCGAGGCTTGCCGATCTACAATCGTCACTTTGCAGTTGACGTACCGGGTGATTTCAGTCCCGTACGCCAAAGCTATACCCTCTCAAGTTCTCAATGAAAATAAAATGCCATATTTTCACCAAGTGAAAGGTTTGCTTGTAATTATAAATGACACAAAGCATTGGGTAATTATCGGCTAAATTTTATTATCCTCATTACTGACTACTCGTCAGCGAAGGAGAGGGTAGAGTGAATGAGAGAATATTCCTAATAGAGCCTTCAGTCGGCCATCTGCTCGAAATCTCACTAACGAATCTAAAACAGGAGTGGGGGACTATTTTTCTACCAAGAAATCTCGCCTGATTGCTCGTGGCTGATTAGTCAATTAAAGGACCAATGAAAACAAAGAGTTTCTTCCTGTATTGTTTTTTTTTTACCTGTTACTATGTCCTATTATTTAAATCCTACATGGAAAGAGATGGCGCTATAGCTGTAACCAACGCAAAATTTAATATTGAAGGAGTTATATAAGAATAAAGTGTCGCTGCCGACAGTTGAGTTTCAACAAACACAGGTGATCCCACTATTAATTTAAGTAGACCACGTGACCTTAGAGGACACGCATATATGTAGAAAGTAGCTGACGACTAACGATCGTTATTTCTAGTCTATCCTCTACTACTATTCTGATCTGCCCTTCTATTAGATCCTCTCTTACTCTACGGACCGCTATTATCTACTCTATTCACTATACTATTTCTTTATACTGATCACTATACAGATTACTGTTCGAGCGAGTATTATCGAGCAAGTGCCTATTGATGCGAGTGTTATTCGAAGGCGTCTGACACCAGTATTGTTCAACGGCGTTACTATAGTTGTATCTGCGATTACAAAGTCTCTACTACAACGAGCATTACGAAAGTGACAACGAGTATTCGTTGACATTACAAAAGTGGCAACGAGCGTTTCTTGGCATCACAAAACATTGTCGTCTCAAGAAAAGACCCATTGCATGAACGATGTACTAAGAACTTAAGAACCAAACAACTAAAGAAATTTAAGTTAGTAGCAAACGATAGAAAATGTGAAACCATAATCTGACGAAGTATAGGAATAACGAAAGATGTCTTCGGGAAAATAAGAAAAGTACTGATAAATAGAAAATTTGTCTAGATTTCTGAGATGAACTATTTACATTATTTATATCGTTCCGACAGTTGCCCTCATCTTTACTGTCATATATTCACGACGTTTCGGCAGTTTACGCTCTGGACTTCTTCAGGAGAAATACTTTGAAATTTCGAACCGAACCCTTTAATTTAGTCCACGGGAGTAGATTGTTCTAATTCCACGTGTCATGCCTTTTTTGGATATCTCAGTCTCAGATAATTCCTTTAGTTAACTTAACTCTCCAAGTTTTTGTTCCTTCTCTTGTGGCCAGCGATTGAACTCAAAACTCTTTGGATCTAGTCATTTTTAAATTAACCAACCAGCGCTTTTAGCCAATGTACTATGGAACGTGGAATAAGAACAATCTCTTCCCGTGGACTAAAAAAGATCGGTTAGAAATTCCAAAGTACATCACCTGAATAAGGTCGGAGTGTACAACGGTCGAAACGTCGTGAATATAGCAATAAAGATGAGAACAACAGTTTGAACGATGTAAATTCTGTAAATAGAAAATGTTAGAAAAAAAACGTTATAAACGCTACCATGATGGCACAAAAACAGATTCACAAAATACAAAAACAAATTTCGATTATTTACAAACTGACCTTCCAATGAATTAACCGTTGTTCGTTAATTTATTATGCCGAGAAACAAAACCTGGTTCTATTGTTCAAATCTGTCATGTATTTTTTTTTTCGATTGAAGATGACAACTCCTTCATCAATATTTTCATCCCATGTTATCGTCTCGGGTCGATCAATTTCAGTTCCTTTTCCTATGCGAATCCTATGCAAAGAGAATTCGATCGCTAATATTGACCAAGATCTGTTGGGTCTTATAGACGAAAATATATGATCAATGTGATTTAGTAGAGGAAAACAAGACTTAACACACAAAAAACTTTCACTTATTTCAATTCCTTTATGCAAAGTGTAAGAAATATGCGTTTTTGTTGAACAAAGAATATTTTGCCTTATTAATACAACGATCTTCATTTCACTTGAATTTGAATTTACATTAAAATTAACATTCACTGTTTACAAAATATGTCACGGAAAGGGATATATTTGTTCGGAGTTGCAAAGTGGTTTTGTACTACTGTAAGCGAGTAGAACAATCTAGCAGGTAACCGTCATGGACTGGTCCTCGTCGTAGTGGTAGGCAATAGGCGTCCCCCTGTACCTCCACATCAGTCTGTATTTATGGCTGACACCAGCTAGTCATATTACTGCGAGGGGGAACCCAGGTGTATGCATATTCATTACATCATCTCCCGCTGAGCTAAATTTTCCCGTGAAATTTAGCTTCAATATTTTCACTTTTTAGGGTCTGAATTTAATCGATTGATTTTTTTCCTAAGTATTTTTCGCCTCAGTCTTCCTTGCATCGGTGGCGTTTGACACACTGGTACCTCTGGCCTTGAGGTCGGGGATACCTCCATTGACGAATGTTGACTTACTGGAACGGGAATTTCAAATGCATCATACAGGACTTCCATTGGAATCTCTTCGGTATTTTCTGTGATCTCTGTAGTGTGTCTGGGTCTCAAATAATTCCAATGTCTTTTGCACCAAAATGTTTCCTCTTTTATGTCATATATTACCTGTTCAATTCTTTTGTTTATCATTCCTTCTTCCCAATACATTTTCCAGACATAAAGTTCTTGAAAACACTTTGTCAGCTGGGTTAAACCCTTTAGTCATCTGGTTTTCTTTTTTAGCAGTATTCTTCGCCGGACTAGGCAACAGCCTGTCGAACACAGAGCGTATTTTTCTCGCAAACATTAACTCTGCTGGCGATAACCCTGACGTCGTAATCGGCTTTGGCATCATTCTATATAATGCCAAAAAATTCTGAATACTTCTTTCATTCGTGTCCACGCCTTGGTTTTTCTTCGCCGCTTTTTCTTCAACGTTTTTTTCCGCCTGTCCATTCGATCTTGGATGATATACTGGTGTTGTCACATGATCAATGGACAATGATGTACAGAATTCCTTGAATTCTCTTCCCGTAAACTGCTTTCCGTTGTCGCTGACTAAATTTTTAAAGAGTCCAAAGCGAGTAAAAATGTCATTAAGTGCGTTTATTGTATTTGTTGCAGTCGGATGTCTGCACTTAACAATTACTGGCCACTTAGTGAAACTGTCCACAATGATCAGGTAATAAGATCCATTTATGGGCCCTGCATAGTCGATATGCAATCGAGTTCATGGAATATCTGTCTTTGGCCATGGTTGAATCTTTACCGGTGGATCCCTTGCTGCCAGTTGACATCCTCTGCACTGTTTCACCAAATTTTCTATGTCTTGGTCCATACTCGGCCAATAAGTATAGCCTCTCATTAGAGATTTCATTCTCGAAATCCCTGGATGGCCTGTGTGAAATTATTTCAGCATTTTCTTTTGCAGAGTAACCGGGATTACAACTCTATCTGCGTATAGTAATGCCTGTTCGCAGACTGAAAAAGGTGACACACTAATTCCTTTTTTAGTTGTCTCGTTCAACCAGACTTGCTTTTTCATGTTTTTTTATGAAATCATCGTTCACCGCTGCTTTTTTCACATCTTCTAGCGTAACCGGTAGTTCTCTAATAGTGTTGCATAACAAACCCGACAATTCACGTTCGTCTCTTAGCGCAGCTATTACTGTTTTTTCCAGTGGTTCCGTATATTTAGTTATCAAACTTGGTAACCCATCGGCGTGACCTAGCTTCTTTTGAAGGCACATATTCTATTTTGAAATTATAATTCAATAGAATTATACCCCAACGCTGTAGTCGATTTGCCGTGTGAGTTG